AGTGCTGTTTTCCATGCCCAGTTCGGAGTGGCGTAAACAGAGAGGTGGCCAACCCTTGACTTGGCAGAGGAGTATGAAGGAGACCATGAAACGCTTGGGTGCTGTCGGTGCTACTCGCCTTCCACGATGGGGACCGCGTGATCTTCACTATATGTGGTTGCAGACACTACAAGATATGGCTGCCAACCGATGTCAGTGACGTTCTTGTTGTCAGTTTCTGTCCAGATTGACTGAGTGAATGTCTGGAGGTGTAGGAACCTCGGAATGCTAGCACTAAGTCCCTTTCCTGTTCACATTTACCCTTTTCTTTACAATAAGGCTTTCAACTTAATTATGGTTGTACGGCAGTGAAGCATCGGTGTTGAATGATGATGATGATGGTGTTGATGATGATGCATCAGTATCATCACGAGTGTTACTGTTTCCAAAGAGGATTGTTTTGTACGCACCAGCAACGTTACTGATGCAAAGAGATTTCGATAGCAAACGCTCCTTGATTTTTTTAAAATCTATTAATCCGTCAGCGATGATTTGAAAGAGGCCACTTCTTTTGTAACGCTGCACAGGATGTGGGTAAACTGATGAGGGTCGTTTCAGTAGCGATATTCTTGGTAAGGAGATCCAACTCTTCTGAAAGGCCGAAAGCGTGAGACCTTTCTATTAAAGAATAAGCATAAGGTTAACTAAAGTGGCCTACGTTTAGCTGTAGTCAGTAAACTTTCGAGTTTCTGATATCCCTCGGTCGTGCCGCTGTCACCCTTATTTCTTTAATCCAAAGATGTGGCTTATTGGATGTTAACGCACACGTCCGCCCCTTCTCGTCCGTTTCCCAGACCTCATTCCTGACGTTTTCTTGGTCTACCTCTGAAGGAAATCGGGCAACACGCTTTCCACACTTGTGATATCTTATCAACAGACACTGGGTTTCGGAAAATTGATTACAAGATTGCGCTCACATTATCTGGGTCAGTATGAAGACTTAAGACGATTCTGCGCTTACTGCAGGAGATTACGCTGGTGCGGACATAACTCTCAGCTTAAAAGTTGATACATCTTTATTGGATTAGTTCCCCGTGACCAAACACTATTCGTTTGTCAACTTCCACTAGCACCGCGATAATACATTTAACTTCCTAAGGTATCTTACCACCACCGTCTCCTTAGTGTAGTAGGATTTGACTGCCTGCAACGTTCGTAATGAACTCGTCTTTAAGCGAGTACTAGGTAATGAGTCGGATTCACTCGTGAAGCAGGTAAGGCTTACAAAGCAAAGGTGGTTTGGGTATGTTATGTATACCGGACTACCGTCTACCAAGGAAAGCCGTGCTCTCCATTCCGAATCCTCGTGGATGAAAAGTACGCCGAGGACCAGCAGTGACGTGACAGCTCAAGCTGAAAGTGGTTGCTGTCGACTTTAGCACTGTAGGGTGTTCGAGCCCTACATGGTGAGTCCACGTGATACTCTTTGCACGTAATTGGAAACCATGTAGGGCATGACACGCAGCGGATCTCACTGGCACACTTGCTGCCACGTCCTAGACGAACTGTCAAGGTAACACTCACATACCGGTGCTTGTTGGGCTTGCTGGAACCAAGCCATAATTAATGAATGGGACGAAAATTTACTTAGTTCTCTAGGTTAATAGGATTTTTCAAGCTCACCGCCTCGAGGTATCTTTTAAAGTTTCGGTTCTTGTGTCCCCAGACTTTCTCATCACGAACAGGGTTTTGATCCAAGCAAAACGTTGCTGTCAAAATACCTGCTTCTTGACAAAAGTCAGCAGACGAGCGTTAGAAGTGCATAAAGAGGAGTGAAAATCTGTAGGTCCGATTTGATTCATCTGGAAATCACTGAAGCCACAACATTCCAAACGAACCATCAGCAAATGTGTTCATAGGATACAAATGAAAGCAAAATAATTTGGTATCCCCGTGAGAAAACTGCACACCAAGTTCCACTGTGGTGAAAATCAGACATGTATTCTCTTGAATTGCAGTATTCATTATATTAAAAGATTCAAAAATCAAAGCGAAGAGAGAGGCCTTTGCGAGAAAACGACCTTTTTCCTCTGTTATGAGGCGTAACCCCACCAGGTAATGAAAATTGGCTGGTGGTATTATTTTCTAAACAATATTGTATTCCATCTGTCAGTATTGTGCAACTCAACCTTCTGCCACCCACTGGGTACTCGATAAATTAAATCGCATCCATCCCTATCGTTTATGGTTTTTCGCTTCTGTGTACTTTTAAAACATCATCGGGCTATGAATTCAACTCGATATAACAATCATAACTGTTTGCTGACTAGTGACAGGTGTTTGCAGAATCTTGCATATTCCCTCATAATAGCCACTCTATGCTAACTCCAGTGTCAGACTAAGGTCTGATCTCTAATACTGTCTTTTACACGCTCTGACCCTCTTCAGGAGCAGCATCCTAATCAAAACGCGTCAGAAATATACCACGAAAGATCGTCAACTTGTATCCTGTAAGAACGTTGCGCCAAACACCTGCTTTTCATAAAGCCTTGTGTTGGAGAGCTGCACTCTCTTAGTTTCCACCGGACTCGAAAAAACTGCCATTGTGGTGACCGTATACATTGCAAGGCTACGAAGGACCACCAAGGGCTCATCATCTCTCCCTATGGATCACCAGCATTTGTGTGGTGGCCTAGTTAAATCAACCTGACAGTAATGTTAACCTGCTGTTTTCAAAAATGGTTCAGCCACTTGTCAGTCTAAAAAAAACAGCGGCACAAGTAAACGTATTTCGAGACAGGAACACGCATCTTCGTAAGGTAACACTTCTTCTCGCTGACGAGTAGTAATTGCCCACCTCAGATTGTTGTACTTCCGGGATGCATCTGTTGTTGCTCTGTTATGTATTCTGACCGACGTTCTCATTACGGTGCATCTTTTGAATTAAACTTTCAGCCTTCTCCGATATTCGATCCGTTCCGCTCGAGAGGTCCGACAGTCACTTAATAACCGTGCTTTACCAGCTGAGTTTGTGGCTTTCGAGCGCGTGCTAATATGAGATGGCGTTCTTGGGTCAAACCTGCTTTTATTATGGTTTATTCAGTCGTTCTCTGCGTGGCTTTACCATTACTTATTATCGAATTCCGGAACTCTTCACCCACCGTCGTGAGCGCTTGGTTTATCGGTGGTGTGTTTGTTCTTGGAGCAGTTCCGATCTCTCTGTGGACAATCCTTGATCATCTGATAAACTACACAAAACCCTACCTTCAGCGCCACATCATAAGGTATTTTCTTCTTCCTTGCCCGTTAAACTTATATTTCAGAATATTGTGGATGGTTCCCATTTATGCATTAGATGCTGTAGGTCAAATATTTTTGGATTATTTTTTAGTGGTTTGCTCTGAAATTTCCGCCCAATGCTATTTACTTTGACACACTGAGAGAATGCTATGAGGCTTATGTAATATACAACTTTCTGGCGTTTTTGTTAAATTACCTTCGGCACGAACATCCAGACTTCATTTATGTAATCGAACAGAAGCCCCAGGTCAAACACCTTATTCCCTTCTGTTGCTGCCCAAACTGGACGATGGGGAGGTAAGTCGCCTTGGCTCCGTTATGATGTGAATATCACACCGTTGGTATCGGATCTTTGTATATAAATGGATTACCGTTTGAGCCAGGTTGATCAATCGCTTCTTCACCCTTCCAATGCTTTATCACAATAAAGCGAGTGGTTATTCCAACAGATATATTTATAATTATATGTTATATGTATAGTATTAGAGTTACTGACTGGTGTATCTATCGATTGTTCCTGGGGAAGCGACAAAAAAATGGGAAAATATTAATGAACTATACACGCGCTACAGACCCACCCGTCACTACCCTGACGGTGTAACCATTCGGTGGTCCTTTCATGTCCCTTGCGCTCGAACGTGACGTCCGGTTGGTTTCAATGTAACTTTCGACCACTTACGGTACACTATCCTCTTTATCATAATCCGTGTATACGGAAACCGTGTACGTTTGACGGACTGGTTCAAATAGTTATTATGGGTGCAACGCGTTCCTGCTGTGGACTCATTTTGTTGTCGATAGTAGGACACTCCAGAAGTTACTGCATAGTTCAGTCCTACTAAAATCGGACATTAGATTTTCCCTTCTCTTGTAATCTACTGTGTACATGATGAGTAATTTAGCACGCAGAAACAATATGGAAGTTCATGGGTGAGCCTTCAAAAGGACTTTCTAGATTTCGAGACCTTTTCAGCAGAATCTGGAGAATGATTGTTCATGCTAGGCTTCCATCAACTATCACAACCGTCGTAGTCCCCGGTAAAACACATGACTTTGCCACCTACTGTATTCCTCGAAGCCAGATCCTGAAAACAGATGCCCGTCTATTGTTCTTTTTGACTTAGAAGGAATTCCAAGGTGAAAGCATACTGCAAGCTCCTACCATAGCTTTTCTTCACCTTCATTTTACCATCCCTCGGGGCCTCATTTCAGCCGACTTCCAATCCTCGAGTTTTGGCACTAAACGGGTGGAATGTTACGTGCGTGTTTGGGTGGTGTCCTCACAACGAACCTTGACTCGTTGGGCTAGTATACTCAGGAAATCCGTTCGACCCACTGGGGGCTCAGGTTTGCGCATCTGCAGTACCGGAGCCGAATGCTCCTGGCCGGATCGGATTCCAGTGGGCAATGGCCTAAAGGCCGTTCGAGCACGCAACTTAGTCATGCTGAATGCCACTAAACGTATAAGACGGTGCCTGTATGTAGTGTCCGCATGTGCACCAGCGGACTGACGTTCTGACGTTGAGCAGTATACATTTCATCGAGTTATCCGGGCTCGTTTGTCAAGTAAGATTCACTGATAGCTGAACACTAACATCATGATCGATGTACGGTAAACAAATGCTACTAGTAGTGAACATGTGAATGATGCCTGGCGAAATGTGAAAGGAGCTATTCTAACGGCATTCAGTATTGTCTGTATGATTTCTCCGACAAGGCCAACTGACCACTATATATCATCGAGGCTGCTAGTCCTGACTGATGCTTGGAAATTAGTGGAGTACGGTGATCCCCCAAACGCCAAATAGTGAGCAGTCTGAGGAAAGACCGAAGGCTTTGGTGGATGTTGAAAGCTCAGGAGATGAAGAAAGCTTTTATTTAACAAAAGATCCGTGCCCTATTAATGCGATTGACCAGCCAGAGGAAGGCAACGATCAGTGAAGCGATAAGTGATTATGACGGCTCACTACTTAACTTGCAAAGCATCAACCAGAAAGATGGATATAACACTTCGAAGAACAGCCTGGATGGCTTCATGCAGGGCAGCCCCTGGAGACAGTGCGTGCGTATATTTATTGCCCATTAGAAGAAAAAATAAAGTAAGAAATATCCATACTTAAATTTTTTTTTTGGGGGGGGGGGCACCACACCCGCACAGTCTGTATTCAGCCATCTCTAAACAAGTCGGAAAACCCCTGGTGACACGTGACAAACCTCATTATCCGATACAGTGTGAAGAGCAAATGTCCTCAGAATGTGGCACATGAACAGTCATCCCTATTTTCAAAAATGGTGCGCGGGCGCCGTGTGAAAACCACTGTGACATTAGCCTGATAGCTGTGGCATCGTAGGTTCTACGTGATCTTATCCTTCTAAGGTTGACTGAACACGGAGTTATCTGCAAAAACTAAACTGGGTACCGTCCTGCAAAAGAATGCATCGAGCACATGTTCACTCTCTGGAACAGCGACGCTGCTTCCAGCAACCGACAGTGGTGATCCTTCTTGACTTGAAATCCGCCTTTGACTCTTCGGACCATCACTTACTATGGTAGTGTCTGTGGAGAATAGATGCCACTTGTAAATTATTGGTCCCCTTTTAAGGCACTGTATGCTCACTCCCGCAGACGTGTGAAGATATGTGGGCAGTAATCGTCTGAATTCACTACATCAGATGGTGTGGGGCAAGGCTGTCATGTGTCACCTTTCCTCTACAACTTCGTCAATGATACGATTATGTAAGACTCACTGCCAGTGGACATTCATGGATATCGGATACGCAGACTACACATCTCTTCTTGAATCTGACGCCGTTGTAAAACAAACAACATTACAATCTCACGGTTTGGCGTGCTCTCCACACCTGTATAGTGTAGAGTACTACTGCAAGACAGAGTGGGCTCGAACCCTAACCCCATGCTTGCTGATGAGCCGACTGAGGTGGTAGACAGGTTTGTCTACCTCGGCAGCTGTATCAGTCCCGGTGTTTTCGCGAAAGATGATATTTCCATCCGGATATAGAAGGCCAGAGGAGGTTCTATGTACCTGAATCCCTGTGGCGTAGGCTTGATTTGAGCTTCTCAGTCAAAGGTCGCGTTTGTAATGCTGCGGTGCGCTCCATATTATTATACTGGTCAGGAACCTGGCCACTGCGTCCTGATAACAACCACGCGACTGGCTGAGGTTAAGTAATGACTTAGTGGTGTGGGATGAAGTCCATTACCAACAACCTCAGCAGTGTCGGTCATTGCCTTCTCCCTGGATATGGGCACCGAGTCGGGACACATTAATGGCTAGGAACACTGTTGGACATGGCTCAGTCGAGCGCCGAATATGGCCCATGCATCCAAGCTGTTACTTTTACTCCCTACGTTATCCGCAGTGAAAATTCACCGGCACCTCGGTTTTGGCGCAATAATTTCATCAGCTCCCGTCCCAAATCATCGCAGGATGAAACTGTGGCAACTGTGCCTACTGTACTGCAAGTACGCGACTTTTACACCGGGGTATTTTCATCATGATCTATTCCTATAATACTACTAAACGACGAATTTCAGATTAGTTATCATAATAAAGGATGCACGGGCCAGTGTTATTATGTTTAGCTTATTCAAGCGAATCACGCGGTTTTATTTCATTTAGATGGATGTATAAGTATATCCTCTGCTTCTCCCCTTTAGGCGGTTTATTGACCACTGTCGTCACGGTGCTCTGCAGTACACAGTGATACGGCCGATAACGACCGCCATTGCGCTGTAAGTGATCAACACCCTGTTTGAGCGCTGTTTTCTGCATGATGGTGCTCATTACTTCGCGTTCTTTTCAGGAATATTTGACTCTTCACTTTCGCATTCAGTATTTTTGGTTTTCTTTATTCTGCTATTGTCCCAACTCGTGTTAGCTTTCATAGGCTATTCATTCAAAACAAACACAAGCTTTGAGTCCATTTCACATTCGGTTAAAAGCACCCTTAGTTGTCAGCATTCTGGAAAAAATCACGCGAACACGTTCGCAAAACACGCGTCGTGGTTCACTTCAATTAAGATAATAAAGATAATCGTGCAGCACGAGGGCTGGGATACTGTCAGGTTACTTAAGCCCAGACAGGAGAAGTCGATATTCTGAGGTCGAGTTCGAACCACGGACCTTCCACTTTAACCACTGAGCCATCTCGCCATCTATGTCTGGTGTTACCAAGCGCGGCAACGTGGTCGTAAAAAATCAATATTTCCTGATGATGAGGGGCAGTGTATAGCCAATTGAGCAATGTTTCAAGCATGGTAGTCTGTTGCTGACTTCAAGTGGGAGTTTCTTATATTCCCTCAACTCTTTCTTATCGCAAATACATATGAAGTGCTCTTTCCAGTAGTCTACATCCGATTGGCCAAAATGGTCAGTCTTATTTAATGTCATTGAATACCCCGACCGAATCTTCCCAGTTCCCAAAACTAGACGGAAATTTTTATATTTGTAAGAACTGTAACCCATCATCATCATCATCATCATCATCATCATCATCATCATCATCATCATCATCATCGACAGCATGACATCAGTGTTCAACACTGATGCTTCGCTACCGTACAACCATTATTCACTTCAAAGCTTTATTGTGATGAAGAGACTAAAAGAACACAAGGAGGGAACTTGGTGCTAACTTACTGACAATTCCGAGATACCTACACCTCCAGACACTCATTCAGGCAATCTGGATAGAAACTGACAATGAGAACGCCACTGACATCGATTAGCAGCCATATCTTGCAGCGTCTCCAACCAGGTGCAGTGGGTTCCACTCCGTCCCTATCATGTAAGGCAAGTCGCACCGACAACACCCAGACTTTTCTTAATCTATTTTAATTCCCTCTGCCAGGTCAAAAGTTGACCACCACTCCGCTTCCGCCACTCTAATTGGACCCGGAAAACAGCACTCTTTGTTATGCAAATAATGGTTCGTCATGTGCAAAACATGACCTGACCAACGTAGCCTCTGGTACTGGACACATTCTTCAATGGAAGTCCCCGTGGCACAACCGAAAACATGCTTTCTAGGCGCCTCGTTGCGGGTTCGCCGACACCAGCTCACACGAGCTATGGTCCTGAAACAACGATTGTCGAACACCTGTAGATGTCTCAGTTCCGCTGCTCAAATGCGCCAAGTTTGACAGCCATACAACAAAACAGCTCCTATTGTAGCCTTATGCACACATCCCTTGAGATCCAGAGATATGCGGCTTTGACGCCATAGATATCTCAAATTAGCATAGGCGACTTGAGCCCTCCAGATTCGCGCATTGACCTCATCTGTAACACTACACTAGGAACTAATGCAGCTTCCAAGGTACGCACAACACTCCACAAATTTGAGTGCTTCTACTGAGATTTTCAGTGGCGTTTTCAGTGACTGCATGTCCACGGGCATGACCGCTTACACTGTGTGAGTGCAAGCACATGTTAAAGAATGACTTTCGTCAGTTCATTCAATAACACCTACACCTTCTCTTCGGAGACGAGAGCGATTTTGTCTGCATATTCTAGATCGACAAGGCTCTTGTCAGAGGCTGTTGAATACTAGGGTTCTGAAGACGTCCAGTGTTCTTCTCATTATTTCATCGATCACGAAATTAAATAGGAATGTGGAGGATGAACATCCATGGGGGACAGCTTCGTGTACGGAAACTTTTTGAGAACTCTCCGTATGCTGTCACACGTCCGGAAGTCTGAGGATGCAAAACAACTTTTGATGTGTACAAACTTCCGAAGCATTTTAGGTGTCAATGAGGGCAAACCGGTGAACCGAGTCGAATGCACTTGGAAATCCAGGAATACTAGAACTGTGGGTTGTTTGTACGTATGACGTTGTCCTAGCACCTGACGGATTGTGAATGTTTGGTCAACGCAATCCGTGCAAGGCCGAAATCCTGTTTACTGCTCTCGAGTCAGTGCTTCATGTGTCCACCAGACTTCATGGTCGGTCCGCACACTCACTGTAATTTGACGTCTGATAATTCGCCGCGTCAAGTTATGTTGGGGACCAGATTGGATATTTCTCCGATATTGAAGCAATGCAACTGTTCGTTCTGATATTCAGTGCTTAAGAAGGCCTGTTAACGTTGTGCCGTAAGCAAAACCGGCGGCACTGTGCAAAGAGGTGGATTTCGTTCCGGTAGGAAATCATATCTGGTGGTGGAGCATTTCGAAGAGACTCTAGAAGACGATTCTGTCAAATTCGTCTAACATCCAAATCAGTCAGTCTTTCGGTTGCCCGACGATTTTCCCGCGGCCCTGGGAAGCGAAGAGCGAAGCGACACCAGGCGAGTTCGTGGTCAGAATCCACAAATGTGTTCCAGAAAGAGTGGCAGTCAGTTATTGATCCGCGTCATTGGTAACTGATGGCAATGTGACCGATTTGAGATTATGGCCAGCATGGCGTTGAAGGACACCATTGGCCAGACGACTTCGGCTGTTTCGGAAGTTAGTAATACATAAAAACAACCTGTGGTTAGTAAACAGCTGAAGCAATCGTTCACAATTGTCCGCGTGTACTGAATCCAGTCCATGTAAGCTCCCTGCTTGAGTCTCAGATACGCTAAGCCTGTCCACTTGTGCGTTCAGGTCTCCGGCAAAAAAAAACAATATCTGAGTTTTCAGTTCGCCACCACCGGGCTTCCACGCCGTCACAAAACGTCTCTTTGATGGTGTCAGAGCTACAGTCATATGGGGCGTAAGTAGATCCGCCAACCAGACAACTCCTCCGTAGACGTTGCCAGGCTAACCGCCGATAGGCAACTATCAACGGGTATCCAGTGAAGCAAAGTTAATTCCGCGCGGTGACTTAGGACGACATCCACCTCCTGTTCGTCCTGCTGCCGCAGCCTCTGGGTCGCCAGAGGTGTGCAGCCGGAACGTAGTGGAGAATGAGGAGCTGTTAGCCCAACCACTGTTGTTACATTTTGAATTCTTGTTTTTGATGCACAGCACACATCATAACCAAGTGAGTCCAGTGTGAGACCAAGAGCAGCTTGTTATCCTGCTTGCTTCATAGTACGGACACTGAAGGTGGCTAGATAGACTGGGCGTTGAGGCTTGAAGCTTGATTGCGAGATACTTGAGATTGTCGCAGCCGGACGGCGTGCAGACGTTGCTTGCAAATCATCATCATCATCATCGTCGACAGCATGACATCAGTATTCAACACCGATGCCTCACTGCTTCACTGTTTGCAAAACTTATGCAAAATCAATGAAATCATCAATCCTTGCTGACGGGCCTATAGTCTTATAGTTATTAATGGGGTGGCGAGAGGGGGACTAAAGAGTATCCTAAATACAATGTAGGTAGGCGTCAGCATTAGCATGGTTTCGCTTACCCGCCTTGCTGCATGCAGCAAATGAGATGACCCGGCTGATGGCACCACCGACGGATGTTCAGCATTAGCATGGTTTCGCTTACCCGCCTTGCTGCATGCAGCAAATGAGATGACCCGGCTGATGGCACCACGTGACGACGGATGTGGCGCGAGTTTATTTATGGATATGTAGTTCGTGTTAGCTGTCAACTCCCCTTAACAAGGCACTGTCTGCTCTGCTCCGGTTTCGCTCTATTACGTTTGAGCGTCTAAATGATTCGTGAGAAACGGCGGGAAGAATTTGCCAGATTGAGCTTTCTCACCTTAGATTCAATGCTTTTGGAGTTGACCTTTGGAAAATAGCGCAGCTATTAGTGAAAATGGATAGTGTAATTACCACAGCACTGTTTCGCATCGCAGCTAATAGGATATGATGGAAAACGGATCATGTTGAAATGGTTTTGAACTGCTTTGAATCTCGAAATATTTAAGCAATAATGAATAGGGTTTTGGATTTCTGTTTTTCAGACGCTAGACACTGTTACAACAAAGCGCCGGCACTCGCTGGGACTGAAGGTTTCGGTTTTGCAGGAAAATAGTTGTAGTTGTTCCCGTTTCGACGTTTGACTTCACTAGACGTCTTGGCTACCTTCAGGGCTGACATCAAATGCAAATTGACTTCAAGTAAATCCGTTTGGTGATCCCTTGGTAGCACGAGTGCTGTATTTGAGTTGGTAACCACGGAAATTTTTCATGAATATTTAGCACTTCCTCCATTTGGTTGCGTGGCAAATGGTTGGGTTTGACTAAAAACAGGATAGGTGTCGCCCTCCATAGTCACCGGTTACTCGAAACGCCCTGCTTGTTGAGTGCCGTTGCAGTTTTTGGAAATTATCCGAATCTGAGACAGTATTCAAAAAAAAATCTGCTGACTGTATTATCGCCTACTTTGTTCGCTTTACCAGCTACTCACGTTGCCATCATTTAGCTGGTTTTCTAAACGCTGACTTTGCTGCAGTGATTACTCCTACATTTTGCTATGGTTGATAAAGCCTCTTCTATGCATGACTTTAATTCAGACGTGACTACCTGTCCTCCTCATTTCTATCTCCTCTCCGACATTGTCAGCAGAAAATCTTCTACTCGATCTAGTGTTAGAGCACTGGTTTCGCTTAGATGCGTGATAACAGCTTCACTACTGTTCTTATCCTTACAGACTCATCCAAATACACATTCACCGACAGACACCGAGGTAGTACTGTGTTGGTGAGGGCTGTAAAAGTGGTCTTAGTGTTTTGAATCTCGTCGGAACTGCAAGCTAGGTTCCAAAATTTGATACGCATGAGCTTCCGCGGGGCTCTTTCAACACACAATGTTGTTTGCTGTACTTGGCAAGAGCTAGCTTTT